TTCAAAGAATGCTACTGTTCGTTTCAAAAAGTTGGAGATATGCCCCTTCCCTTTATTAGGATACGCCGTAGCATAATACCAAATTCAATCATATTTGTCTGCGGAGCTCATTTTTCCATCGAGCGAGAGCTAGACAAAAGTGTACAGTACCATTTGCAAAATTATTTAAAGTGCCTCGTTAATATTTAACAATATGATTTATTTAAAAGCATATTTAGCCAAAAATAATAACAAGTGAATTAACTTAACGCTCTACACACCTATAAAACTTTTGCTTTGTTTTCTATTGTTAATTTATACGCATTTNACGGCAGTATACAGAGGAATATGGTATAAAATATCAGCAAAAGAAAAATATCTGCTTTGTAATTTGGATTCCCTTGAAACATGCCAACATATATTCACGGAGTGTCCGGCATGCAAACCCTGTAGGGATCATTACAACCTACCTTACCCAGATTCCTTAAAAATCAAAAATGTCGAACAAGTTAAGAAACTGTACTGCCTTTTTAGCAATTGTCTGAAACTAAGGAGTTTTGCGTTATGCGAATAAATTTTCTATGTATACACTAAACCATAATACCGCTTAAATATAGCAACGTCATAGAAAATAATATCTTAGTTTTAGTTTATATTTGTATTGGAAAATTCACAAACAAATAAATATTATTATCCTGGTCTTCTCAGTTTGCACTGGTAACTTTGAGCAAGTGAAGACGGGCTAATGCCAAAGAACCTCACTCACATCTTTTGGGATATANCTGAGGGGCCTCATTCAGCTTTGCCGCCCCGGACCTCTGACGGGCTTAGTCCGCCACTGACCTAGTTCACAATAATGAAAACCTTACTACTTATGTTATTCAAATAGGGTGAGCTAAATCTTAAGCATGTTTATTCAGATAACGTTAACACCGACATATGTCATCTTAAATGTTAAATTTAAATTTTCAGAATTTCTTATCAGCTTATCTTTTATGATTTTTTAAGTTTTCATAGAGACAACGATGTTACAACTGGTCGCTTTGATCAATATATAATATATATACATATCTGCAAGCGATCCGCAGTTTAAAGATATATGAGATGAATATGAACCATTGTCGAAGGCTTATATTGAGGGAATATTAAATGATGCAGAAGCACAATATGAAAAATAAATATAAGCAATCAAATTCTAAATAATTTCACGCTCCAACTCAATGACCTTCAAAGCACCTTTCGACATTAGTATTAGTGCTGTCAATGACTGATGCAGAACAAGAGAAAGTATTCGAGTAGATTAAACCACAAATACTTGAAATCGTAAAGAATGATGATATAGAAGCACAATATGAAAAATAAACATAAGCAATCAAACTCTAAATAATTTCATTATACCATCAATAGTTTCTCTTATAATCAGAATGATGGATTTTGAGCGACTCTTCAACTATTTAAATCCGATGTGGAGCTCCTAGCAATATTAGCCTATCCTTCTGCCCCTCATAAGCTAATAGATCAACTGGCAGTACAAACATTTATGGATGAAGTCAAAGACGGTGATCTACAGCAAGTCCTTAGATTAGCACGCCTCAGGACTCCAAGTGAAACACTGTCATAGGCCATGGAGTTTGAAGTGACGAAATAAGACAATGTGCAAGTGCGATAAGCAGAAATCGACGATAGTACAATTACAAAGGACGATATCATGTCGCTCATTAAGGATTGCATAATCGATGTGTACAAAGCCACTGCTAGAAACACGGGAGAACGGAACCGAAAATGTTGGGAATGTGGAATTACTGTCCATTTTACTTAAGTATTCAAAAACTACAGAGGTCCTTCGAAATGCTAGAATTGCAGAAAAATAGGTCCAAAATGTAATGTTCGGATCTGCAAAAATTACAGGGGTCGTCAGAAGTGCTGGAATTGTGGAAAAAGATTGCTATAACAGCAATATAAAGCAACTCATTCCTTATCTGGTGGTATAGTTGTGACAATGATTTAGATTTGTATTTATTATTACTTATAAAACCCCAAGCATTAAATAATAAACTCAATTCGCTATTTCTTCCCCTAATTTTAACGTGTATAAAATAATCAAGACAAAAGAGGGTATAATGTTTTTATTGGTTATAGAACCGACACCAACGTTTCGCATCTTTCGCCTGTTGTCGGGTGACTTTATCAAGCATAAATATGTACAAATAATAGTTGTACAAAATTTGCAGTTTACAGTGGTCGTCCAAAATCCTGAAATTGTGGAAAAGGATTGCCCTTTAAACAATACTCGATCTTTCGGCGAAAACAATCGAATGGGCAGATAGCACGAGATTTACAGCGACTATACGAATGTGACGCAAATGCATTATCCCAGAGACTTTGCATGGAAAGATGCAAACATTGTTTATCTGCAGAGATAAAGGAAGAACTGGCATTAATCTGTTGTAATCTATCAACCGTTCAGCCTGAGCGATCCTGAAAAGACGAGGAATTAATCGAAGACCAGAGGAGAGACGAAGATGTTAATTCAATAATGAGATGGAAGAAAACCGTAACCTCACGACTATCGTGGGCGGATCTGAACTATCTAAGCCAGACAACGAAAAGTTATTGAGCCCAGTGAATTTCCTTCACCTTGGATCATGACATTTTAAAAAGGATGCGGGAGAGTCCGGATGGAACAACAAATAAGCTTCAAGTGGTACTGCCGAAGATCACAGTGTCAGAAGACCTAGAAGAAGAATTTAAGATGAGGGACATTTTGGAATACTTTGGGGAAGGTTTGAAAGCGATTTTATTGACCACGAAGAAGAAGCGAAATGGTGCAGGAAATGCTCAACATGCTCTTTCAGTAAAGGACCAAAGACGAAAAGTCATTAACGACTGCAGCAGTACATTGCGAGAGCATTATTTGAGTCGCCGAAAAGCTTGTCAGTGATTGGATTAGAAGATAGGGAGTACAAATGGAATTGCATTCCGATCAAGGCAGGAACTTTGAGTCTGCTTTGTTCAAGAAGGCCACTGAATTAGTGAGTATTACGAGGATTACGCCCTTAGTTTCACAGTCTGATAGGATGGTTGAATGATGTAACGCTACTCTAGAGACCAATATAACAGCAACAAGCACCAAACTGACTGGAACTGACACATACCACTATTCCTCTTTGCGTATAGATCCGTGATCCATGAGACAACTGGAAAAATGCTGGTCAGCATTTTATTTGGTAAATTTTATCCAGCGGATATAATGTTTGGTTATCTTGGAGACTCTTCAGTACCTACAGATTAATGCGTGGGCAAACTACAAAAACGACTAGAAGTCACCCTTAACGTGCGTACGAAGCAGCCATTCGAAAGTGAGCGTACGAAGACCAGATACGATCGACGAGCCAATTCTGCTGGATTTAACGAGGTTGATTAAGTATCGTTATTTAATCCTCCAAGGCAGAAGGGACGTTGCTCGAAACTACAACAAGCTTGGAATGGTCGAAAGGTACAGCGGGATTGTTTATGGAAAATACAAAAGGATGGGGCGTACCAAGACTTAATGATGGAACTAAGGTTACTTAGTAATAAGACGGCGATCAAGGGAAAACTGCCAGGGTGCCAATACCGATCAAGGCCACAGATGTCACTATCACAAGAAAGAAGATTGAGCAAATCATTGAGAGGACCTTTAACGCTGCAATAGGTTAACTATGGTCGATTCTGGACGTCAGGGAAACCTACAGCATGTCACAAAACCACATGTTGCAATCAACCTTATTGGGGAACAATCTGACCTGGAAATTTTTCAAAGGAAACGCTTCAAATCGGGTGGAGTTCCTATCAACTGGAAAGGAAGGTGTTCCCATCTATGTGTTTCAGGTGTTAAGACCTTTATCATTACGTCATTGAATTGTAAGAGCAATGAGACCAGGAAGCGAAAATGCCTTGGGTGTGGTAGAACAGAGCACGAAGCAAATAACTGCACTTCACAAATGAAATATTATAATTGTTAACTCCAATGAGCATAGAGTAGACAATAAGTATTGTACCCATATAATCGTGAGAAAACGGGGAAAACTAGTTGGGAGAAACATTAACTATATCCATCAAACTCTTACAATTAAATGCTATTCATCGTTGAGAGGTCAGGGTGGTTTTCGTGCAGTCTAGAAATAGTGTGACGCTGTTTCGGTATCTCAGTCTAATCAGCGATACTAACCTAGAAGGGACTGGGCCCACATGCTCCAGATGTCTCTGCTTCCATAGGGCATTCGACGGGGTACCCTTGTATAAAATGACAAACTGGGGTATTAGGATGGTGTTAGTGTACAACTCTTTTTATATGAAAAAAATCTTTATTTTAAATTTTGACGTTTTGATATTGTTTGATTTTGCATAAAGGTTTCCTTTATGATGTATTTAAAGAATAAGGAGGGATATTTCGAATTTTCCGCTATGTGGAAAAGGTTGTCAAGGTTTGCAGGGAACATTGTTGTTTTTGATTTATTTGAAATTCGGCATTTTTGCTCTTTGCTATAATCAATCAAACATTTCACAATTTAATGTCAGACATATAATTTTATAAAATATCTGGAGACACATTGTAATGGTTTATCAGAATAAAAATTAAAAAAAAAAAACACACAAAAAGGTTTGAAGCACATGCTAATCGCTGACACGTGTAGCGTGGATAACCTCAAAGATTTAAAATTCAGTAATAATACAAACGCATTTACAACTAAAAAGATTCTTATGTAGATTTACCGGTCTCAAAAATTCGGAATTTTACTTTAAACAAAAATAACTCCCGCATCAATCTAGCTCTGATCACAAGGTCAAATTTATAATTTTATATGATATAAAATATCTGGAGACACGTTGTGAAGATTTATCAGAATAAAAATTAAACAAAAAATACAATAAAGTTTGAAACAGACGCCAACAGCTGA